TATTGACTACCGTTACGAGTTACATTATTAGATTCGATTGACTGTCGAGTATTTTAATACAGTATAAGAGAGACGAATGTGTCTATAGGTAATCTCAAATATTACGAAAAACGTGGCCGAGCTGCAGAACTACGTGCATTTTGTGATTTTTCCGTATGGATAGAGAATCTATAACTTTCTTTTGCAAGACACGAGACTTGCAAAACATACTTCGTATAGTCGAGGCACGAAATATAAGAACAAAATACAAGTATTAAATGAGTCCAGCAAAAATAGGTTGAATTCATTTACGAGGTATTCTTAACTTAACTTCTATGAAATCATTTCATCTCACGTAGATATATATACAATTAGCACGATAAACGATAAACGCGCATCGTTGCATTCTGCTTTTAATATACGTGCAATGTATATTAAAACCAGAAAAAAATTGATTTACGTTTTTCAACTCGGTTACTTTATGCTTTCACATCCGCGTCCTAATTTCGTTGCTGCTTGCAGTTATTATTTTATTGCATTGATAATGTTGCATTTTATTCCGCGCGCTTCTCATATCTTATTTTTACATTTCAATGCATCTCGACGTTATCCGCCCGTCGCGTGTTCCCGAGAGGAAGAGAAAATGAGTCGTAAGTAGGAAACTTCCGGAAAAAGCGCCGATCTCTCCTCCCGTTCATTTTATCACCGCGATTTTACGGTGCGGCGTCTCGAAAAAAGCGATCGAGGCGTCTATATGCATTACTCCCCTTAGGGTGTTAATACACGTTTGTACTAACTAAAAGCTCTCTTTCTCTCTCACGTTTAATCGGGCGTTTAATCTCGTTATAACACTACAAGTGTACGTCGAACCGCGCGTTCCAATTAATTTAAATACAATCAATCCGTTCCGCTATATCTTACACAATCGCGTAAAATTTCTTGTATTAAAATATCTCTAAAAGTTATAGTAAAAACGTTTCAGACAGTACAGGGGGGGGGGGGAGAAAGTAACGTAAAATATACGATGAGAAAGAATAAGCATCACTTCCTCTTCACTTATACATGCGACCGCCTTAGGCAACTAAGATAAAAAGGATGTAATTCAAGCGCAACTTGTTGACTAGATCGTAAGTACTTTTTCTTCTCCCCTTAATTCCACCCTCCTGCCCCCCTCTCTCTCTCTCTCTCTCTCTCTCTCTCTTTCTCTCTCCTGCTCCTTTTTTTTAATCATATTCTTTGGTAAGATGCTGTGGATTGCATCGTTCTATAAACTACACTCGCGTGCGATCCACTTTTTTCATTCTTCTTGCTCGAAGCTTTCACGCAAAAATACCTTTCCAACAATAGTATTATTTTTCCCTCAATATATATCCAGTTATAGCGCATGTCCATATATACAAACAAGATATTTAATTATATTCCTTTAAAAGAGATAAAGGATTCGCGTCTTTTCATAGCCGATGTTCACAATATATGACTAGATATGATGAATCGATCTGAATTACGAAATAAATTGAACAACAATTTCCGATTTAGATCGATTCGATTTTTGTACACGTATAAATAATACATACATATACACAATACATATAAAACATAATAAAAAGTCGATTTATATAAAGCTATGTTTGTAGGAACTTGAATAACAATGCAACGTGCGATAAGAGAAAATTCAATTTAGAAAATAATCTCGCAACTTCGTTACATTTTAAGTACTAAGAACTCAAGATAAAACAATTAATAAACATCTTAGAAATATGATAGAATAAAATAAATATCTTAGAAATAATAAAATCTCTAGGAACGTTTGTAAACAGTGCCATTTCTGCCGGTTAAAGAGATCGTGACTCTTTGCCGATTCTGTTCTCGGAAATTGATCAATGCTTCTTTTCCAACCTGCGGAAAATCGCAGGTTGGGAAAGAAGCATTGATAAATTTCGATGAAACGTTGCAATTGACCGCGATCTTGTTCGCGCTTTTAACAACCGAGGAAATGATGTGTTCCATAATTCAGGGGAGCAGTACGACCGACCCTTTTGCCACCGAATGGTCATTTCTGCATTCAACAGGTGGCCCAGTTTACGTGAAATGTTGATGAAAACTTTCCGCGAGCATCCGCGTGCGTTACGTTAAGAATTCCGACGAAAATCACATAAGAGCACATTTAAATGCACAGTAGATCTTGCTCTGCGATGCGAGAGTTACATTCGAAATACCCTTAAACTAATGTAAAGTATAAACCGATAAAATCAGCCATATAAGCTCTACATGTATCACAAATTTCTAATTTCAGTTATGCTTCGAGTGATTGTTCCTCTGGTAAATGAAATTAGTAGAAATATTTTTTTACAAACTGTCTTTCTTCCTCTCGGAAGAGGACAACGAGCGAATTTTTATCGTCGAGTCAAGATGGATGAAAAAAGTGAGCTCTTATATAAGCTGCGTAAGAGAAAGGTATTGCACTACTTCGTCTACGATCGACTTTATCGCTGCTCATTCTGAGAGCATCTCAATTCGTCGTTTTTACGAATTCACGAAGTAAGATGCATCTGCCGATGTTATCGTATCGATCTTCAGCAAGAAGACGCCCAAAAACATATTGAAATATTGATATCACTTTATGTCGGAGTATCTTCACGGTAGACTTACCTAAAATGACTAGCAAATCAAAATATAGATCTTCCCGCCGGCGTGAAAAAGAAGTTTCTCTGTGTATTAAAAAGATCTCAACGGGAGATCGTACGAACAAATTTTGAAGCACATGTGTTCACATACTGTTTACGGCTCTTTGGAGAAATCAAGCACGGCTTTACTAAAAAATTGAAGAATGGCGTTCCATATAAAATTTCATCGAGAAACTTTATTATTTTCTCGGCAACGATTGAAAAGCTAACGGCCAGTTTCATCACGTTTAACTTTAGGTTAATTCGGTTTTTAAGTAAACCCGCTACAGTTTTACAATGATAAAGAAAAAGAATCGCGCTCAAATTAGCATCTAGTTGAAATAAGCTATGACGTTGACGAAACTGTCCAATAGTGGATAAAAGTGGTACGATAAAAAAAATATACTTATAAAAAGAGTGCTAAATACATCCTTAAATTATATTCGGAGATCTCGCCATAAACCTTATCGAGTCATTCTATTTTCGTTTTATGTCTAATGAATGGTATAAAAGGTAAAATGACACAATAGTTTTAATAGCACACTACTCGAACACAACAATAGAATTTCCAATAAAATTTAAAATTTTTATGAACATACATTTCATGATCTGTTGCTAAATCGATAATGCAATATACAGCACAAAAGTAACTGAGTTTGACATATACATGCGATTATTTTTTTTTTAAATTTTGTCGAAAAATAGTCAAATTCCCCAAGTCTCCTTTTATCTTATATTTACATAATTATTTTCACATACATTGTGTGTAAAAAGAAACATTTTGTATTTATATTAAAATTTGTGTTTCTTCAAATTTTTAAATACGTGAATTTTTAATATATTCGAGTTAATTTAATGTAATGTGATTGTGTTATTTGAACATTGTGCATTAAAATGATACATTTCTTACACTACACTAGTATTAAAACAACATAACATATAAATAAGTAACATAATTAACAAAAATAACAAAAATAGATCTTAAAACGTTTTAAGATAAATAAAATGTGTCAATTTAATAAATTATAAATGTTAATTTTACTGAGAGAGAAAAAGTATGCTTTCACAATTTGTTAGTGGTACATTTTTGTATTAATTTTTTATATATAATAATATTTGTATTACTCTCTCTAACATATTCATCATGTTAAATTAATACCAAAATTTGAGTGCTAATTTAAAGAAACACGTAAAATATCTCAAATTTAACATAAATTTTCCAACTATGTATTATCGTTTTTTCACGTACCACCTTTATTTAGCTTTTCCATTCTCGTTACGTATCGGATATTCGTGTCGGCAATGATATTCATCAGACATCCGCGTGACAATTCGCGAGTTCGCTTCTCCTCTTAACACCGAGGAGAGAAAAATCGGAGAAACGATTTTAAGAATAGCATGAATATGTGCTCGGAACCAAAAGAAGCAGCGCGATGAAACATTCAGAGAAACTTCTCTTCCCGCGAGAGAGGAAGAGACGAGCGTGAGATCTAGAGACGCCGATATGTCAATTACCTTCTCATCGTTCCCGCGCAGTCGAGATTTTCGCCCATCCGCCTATCCGCCTATCCGCGACGTTTAAGCGGGCGAGTAAATCGAATCACTTTGCGCTTATCGAGAGATACCCGTTGAAATTGGATATTACCGGTGATTCGATGTCTGATCGTCGTCTATGATGCACAAAAGAGCCGAGACTTCACTCGACAACGGTAGCAAGTCATTAACTCATTCTGCGATTTCAAGCAAAATCATATACCATATATACGTATATTGATCAATTAGAAACAATTCGATCGCATAATCAATATGAATTTCTTCTTCATTCAAGATTTAGGATCGCTTTCTAGCATCGTGGATACAAAGCTTTAGAAAGCCGTCCTCAAAGGAAAAGTTAAATGACTTTCTGTAAATTGACGGATAAAAACAAGAGAGATTCGAAATATCAATTTCGAAGATTTGAGAAACTGATATAATTAAACAGTTCAAATGAAACTTAATGTTAACAAGAAATGCTTGTGTAGCTTTGTGACACTTTCAAATCACAAACCAAAAAAATTTCGAAAATTGAAATTAAATCTTTTTTTGAGCTTCACAGGCATTGTGGCGGAAACAAAAAAAACGTGAGGACTTGCTGCCGCAATCGAGCCGCAACGATGAATCCGATCGATTTGAATTTCGTACAAAATAATCGAAATTAATCGCATCCGCATGGCGATGAGAGACCAGCAGCGGCTTCCCGTGCGTTCGTTCGTCTTCCGTCCTTTTTTCCCTCTTGGTCCATGACAAAAAGTACTGTCTATACAGCAAATTATTTTTGTTTTTTTTTTTTTACCAGTCTACGTGATGACGCCACTGCAATCTTCTGTTTACGTCGACTGTGCACGACCGGCTGCAAATTGCGGATTGATCGGTTAGCACAGCGTGCTTTATTCGGGCGCGCTGTTAGGTCTAAATGTGAGAATGGTCATGATCGATCGCGGGTGATATGTCAGCAGGTTTAACCCCCTCGCGCTATTGTACAATATCGGACTGTGTCGCAAGTGTGATTAAGCGAAGCGATCGTCCGACAGGGAAGCGTTTCTCCCAGAAAACGATAAATGGATATCGATTCTCGTCAATTTTCAAAGAAAAAAGAGAACTCGAATTGCAGGTCGTACCGTAAACGAGAGACCTACCTGATCGCTGCCGCGGCGCCACTACATCGGCATCCTGTGGTGCTGGCTGCTTAAGGTGGCGCATCGGGGTCGTCGCTCTCGCGCTGGCACGCCGACTCCAGGTGTTTGTTCAAGTATGACTTGAGGGCAAACGACTTGTGGCACTTGGGACATTCGTAATTCTTATCCGCCGAATGCGTCTGCATATGCGCCCTCAGATTCGAGCGATCGGCGAACGCCTTGCCGCAGTGAGCGCATCCGTACGGCTTCTCGCCGGTGTGACTGCGCAAGTGACCCTGCAATAGCCAAGGCCGCGAGAACATCTTGCCGCATACCCCGCAACTGTGTGTCAGCTTATGCGTGAGCACGTGCATCGCCAGAGCGGGCATACTGACGTAAGCCTTGCCACAGTGGATGCACTTCTTGGCCGATTGGGAATCGATGCTGCGATGCGTCTGCTTGTGCCGGGACAGATTCGACGAGGTCGCATACTGTTTGCCTGGAAAGAAAAGGAAAATGCGTCAGTTGAGGATTGAAGGTAGTATTCGTGTAATACCGCAAAAGCGTTTATCATCTCGTTGGTGCAAGTATTCATCAATCCAAATCTAAATTAATAAATTGATAAATTTCAGATAAGTGTAATATTAGACTTAAATGAATTAACGCTATACTCACCGCATTCGCAACACACGTAACGACCGGTCTTGGAGGTCTCGGGTGCATCGATCAGTTCGTTGTCCTGATTCTTCTGTGCGGCTAGTTTCTTATTCTTCGATCTGCCGTCCGAAACAAGCAACGTGTCATACGTGTAAGTGGCCGGTTTCACTCCGTCCGTCGGCTCCGTGTTAGTCTGCACCTCCTTGTCCTTCTGTGTCGGTTGTGAGTTCGGATTACTATTCTCAATATCGCTGCTGCATTCGGAGGTTGGCGGCGTTAATGGCGGCGTCGTTTCGATCTGTTGCTGCTGTGGTAATGACCGTTGCTCCTGCACTTGCTGTTGCACCTGCTGTACTTGCTGCTGTATTGCCTGTAGTTGAATCGTTTTCGTATCGACGGTAGACGTTTGCTGCTGTTGCTGCTGCCGTTGCTGCTGCTGTTGCTGCTGCTGTTGCTGCTGCTGTTGTTGCTGTTGCGACGGCGGTTGAAGCTGCTGTTGCGGCGGCGGAGGCTGAAGCTGCTGTTGCGGCGGCGGTGGTTCAAGCTGCTGTTGCAGCGGCTGATGCTGCGATTGTTGAGCGATAATTGATGTACATGGTATGGTAGATGTACTGTACGTCAGCAGGATCTCTTGTACTGGTGCCAGAGGTATGAAAACACTGCCCGAGGGTGGCACGATAGCAGACTCATAAATGATACCGGCGGCCGTGGGCTGTGGCTGTTGTTGCTGCTGCTGCTGATGATGGTTGTAGACGTTTGAGCTGGTCAACTCGATCGTGTTCACCTGATAAATCGATTGCTCGGCCGGTTGGTAGACGGTCATCTCTTGGACGTCGCTCGCTGGCGCCTCGACCACGCTTTGAGGACCGATCGCTACACTCGGCGGTGGCAAGGGAGGTAGAGATCGGGAGAGTTCTAGGAGATCGTGTGCCGCCTCCGTTTCCGCCGCGGAGCGATCTTTGAACATGGATGACACTTGGCCGGACATGGACATGTCACAGGATGTGATAACCGATTGTATCCTATCGTGTGTTCTCGAGTGCTCCGAAGTATCCTGTAGATGATAGGACGTTGACGTGCTGGACGGCGGAGACGGTTTTTCGGTGGATGGTGGATGGTGTAGCGTCACGATAGACGTCATAGTCTCGTCGCGTCTCTCGGGAGTCGTTCGCACACTCGACGAAGGTAAAGTCGTCACCGTCGTCGTTGTAGTTTCCTTGACGGAAGAGACGATTGTTTCTGTTGGAGATAGAGTCGTCAGAGGCGCCGTTGTGGTGCACGCGATCACGACGGTTTCCATTCGCGTCGTCATCGAGTGGTCCATCGCCGGATTCATCATGATGACGGATGACGGTACCGCTGTCACGACAGTTGTGTCCGTGTTGTTCGGTTGTTCCTTCGAGGGGTCTGCATCGGCCACGGCGGAAGACGTGATGGCCGTTGTGTCTTTTGATTGCGTGTTGGAACATTCTAGGATCATAAATATTAAGCTTTATGCGTGTACATGATAAATCCAATCAGACTACGCCTCATGATACAATGAATATATACATGTATCTAAAGCTATATATAATTCATATGTTATTGCAAAATATCCTTACTACCTTATATGTCATAGAAGCAACGTGTAAACTGATTTTTTTGCTCTCATTTGACGTTTTTAAATCGAGATTTAACGGTGTCGTAAGCTTTTAAATAGGACATCAAAAAATATTCGATTCTCGTTTCTAGGATTTTTAGCAAAGAGTATTAAAATCTTGATGGTGGTAAGAGAAAACGCTAAACAATTGATAGAAGGGTAGGAGAAAGAGGTAGATTGCACAGTATGGATTGCGAAAATAGGGGTAGTGGGATTATGATTGAAAATATGTTAGGAACGGGGTCAAAAGAAGATACGAGTAAAAAATCAAGAAGATTAAGCGCGGATATAAAATTTCACAACAACTCGGTTGTGAAAGTGCACGTTTCGTTTAAAAGCGACCGACTTCTCTTACGCCGCCAGGTCGATCTGTTTTAATATTTCTACGTCGTTGTTTTTGTATGTTTCGCGAGCAGAATGAATTTTTACTGTAATCACAAAGAGTTTTGCTGCACGCCCTTCTTTTTGTGCTGCATTACTTTTATTTACATAGTATAAAAAAATTACATATCAACTTTAGTTAAAATTTTTATTGCTCATTGCACGACTGCGAAAATACATTCTTATTATGTTCACATGTTACGAGATATACTTATTTAAAAATATAGATTATTATAAATTTTATACAGTATGTACATTTTGTATATATAAAATAGAAAATTATAGAATTAAGACTTCGCTCATTTTTCATTTTTCTTTCTACAAATAATTAAAAACGAGAAAAAAATGAGTGGAAATAGAGAGGAGAAACTGTATTTTTAGAATAATATAGTGATGTGAAGAACTCGTGATATTAAAAAATCAGAAGAAAAATGAACAAATAAGAATCTAAGGCAGTTAATGAAGTGCCAAATTAAGTCTATTAAAAATACATAAAATTTCAAACAAGAAACAATGAAACAATAAAATACAGTATCATAAAATACGGTATTGTCATTAAAGATGGCTCGAAAATGTTTAAAATTTTATATACATATTTTTAATAGGCTTAATTTTTTTTGAAGTACAAGTAGACTTAATTTTATGTCCCACTGACTATGCTTGACTTTCATTTGCCCATTTTTCTTCATTTTTCTTCTTTTCTTCTGATTTGCTTTTATAATTTTTAATTTCATAATTATGCATCTCAAAAAAGTTTAGAATATTCAGTTTGGATAATATCTAATTTTTAAAATATATTCATATATTATTTTTAATAATACGAAAAATATCAATTTTGATTAATTTTAATAATTACTATACAAATACTATCAAATTGTCCGATAAATTTCAATTAAAGACTTGTTATTTTTTAGACGTTTCAGCAAACGATTTCGGTCAATTGTAAATTATTCATTGCACGAACGTTTGTAACTCTCGCTTCTTCGTGCTGACGAAACGCTATAAACGTGCATCGCCATTACGATGATTCCGAATGCCGCCGCGCCGTCTTTGTAACTGCATTTACTATCTCGACAAGTTTCGCATACCGTTTTCGCCATTCACACGAGAAGCGGATATGCCGTACAAGTAGTAACGCCACGGAGAATTCCGACAATTAAGGTCGTTTTGTTGCGACCAGGTAACGCATTTGGGAATTACGCGGTGCGCAGCAGCGTGTGCCATTATCATTTGATAATTCGATATAAACGCGTATCGGACTTGCGTCGAAGTGAATATCGATAAAGTGACGCTAAAAAGCTGAAACCGTTACGAAAGAATAAAAAAGTACTTAATGCGTTTTTTTTTTTTTTTTTTAATTACTTCAGAAGATATCACATAATATTTCGTTGTCTATTTTATATACTATTTTATTTATATAATTTGTAATACATGTATGTATCATATTTCCCTATATGGTTTATCATAATATGATGTTGAACTAATTTCGGTTTTACCAATTGCAAGTTTAATCCTTCAGTTGCCATTCCCAGGATAACATACCCGAGATTATCTTGCTACGCTATACCATTTTTATTTATAAAAATACATACATTTGCTTGTTGCTCTCGTTTGCATTGTCTTGATATCTGACGTTTCAATTGAAAAAAAGAATACGGTATGAATTCATTTTTCACAATATCCGCAGTGTACCTATAAGGACGTAATGCATAAGTACGTAAAAACGCTGTAGAGGCACCGAAGGGTTAAAGCTATACTTTGGCGCTCCGTGGTATTGATCGATCGTCCGATTAAATCGTAAAAATAATTACGATGATCGCGGATTCTCGGGAAAATATGTAAAAGTGTGTGGCATACCTTGTGCCGGGGATGCGAAGCACCTCTGTACAGTCGAGATGGGTACGGTGGTCGGCGATGGCGTGCTCCTTCCTCGGCCCCAGCTCTCGAATCCTCTGGCAACGCTGCTTATGTACTTGTTGCACAAGGCCTTCTTTACCATATAGCACCGCGGCATCTTGGCTGATCGTTGCTCTCTTCCCACCCCCCGGGATTAATATCAAAATATCGCTCTAAGATCGCCAAACAACCGTGTAGGGGTAAACAACCCTTGTTGAGCCTTCCTCGGTCCTTCGGCGTGGCGGCGGCGTACTTTATTGCGAGTGATGCGTACCCGCGGCACGATCGAGAAGTACCGCGTATATTGATCGCGAATATATCGCGCAAATCCCCTTTGGAAAAGTCGCGGCTACTCGCCGGCAAACGATACACCACGATATATATCGTTCAATATCCCGTTAATCGCGTTCTGCCGCTCGTTCCCGTTTTCACGAAAAAACTTGCCAAGTTCATATCATCTTCCTTAATTCCATAACGCGGGAAATTTTACCAGGCACACGCGATCTCTCGATCGATGCTTCAGCCTATTTCGTCCCACTCGTACGCTTTCTCTAAGATATCCTGAGACACGACATCGTTTCGTATCGATCTATCGCCGGCAGACTGTCCCAATTAGAATTCCTTCTACTCAAAATTTCCTTTCAGTAACAAGAACGAGCGAAAACGACTCTCTTTTCATATATATAGGAAAGACGAAACGCTCAGCTCAAAATGGCTCTATCTTGGCGATTACGCTTGATTTAATTCTAGACGTCGTTGCATGATTACTCAATAGGACTCTGCGTATAAACGTATATATATATATTTTTTTTTGTATAACTCTATATACAGGGATGAGAGTGAGCGCGTACGATCGCGGTGTCTATACATATGCGCGTGTATACATTCATATTAAAATATCTCTTAAGTGAAGCGAGGAGCTGGGAGGAGTTCTCGATAAGTGGCGATCGGGTCCGAGCGGGAGAATAATACGCGGTTTATCAGTTCTTTACGATTCCAATCGCGCGATCAGAGGGCGTGATTAAGTACGAGATTATGGGAGGGTGGCGGAAAGCGTGTGTGCGGCTTGCCTTTGCTTTGTTCCTCGAGATTACCTTGTTTGTAGTATTGCTTTCGTTGTATATTTACGGGTGGAAGATTTACATGCTCTCTACGGCGCCAGTCTCATGTTCGCCGCGTACCTCGTCGTTCGTAAAACGTACGCATATACGTACGTCTACGTGCGCGTTTTATCCATCTAGCTTGACTCTCCTCTTCTTCTCTCTCTCTCTTTTCTTCTTCCTCCGCTTCACCGCCGTACGTTCGTTATCCTGCACTGCCTCCGGCAATACATGCGTCGCCGAGAATGCGCGAATCCACGTCGGGGCTTCCGTCGCTCTGCTTCCGCGAGATTCACCCGCGAACTCTTCATTCGCCCGGTTGTTCCAGATGGTATCTCGTCACGCCGATTCCCGATGACGTTGTTGCCCCGGGACGTGCGTGTCTCGATAATAACATCCTCATCGCAACGCGATCTGGAACTTCCGACGGATGTTCTGACTTCTCTGTAAATTGACTGTGAACGAAGTACACGAGTTTTCCTAAACGAGGGAAAACCTCGTTCGATTATCGAAATCGAGAGATGCGATTGCAAAGCGACCGTTCGCTACTTTGTTGGCAACCTGCTCGTTTATCGTCAAAAGCGAATCGATGCCGACGCTCTGTGCTGTTCACAGTAAATGACTTATTGAGAGCTTCGATACGAATAGTGGAATTTCTATAAGGAGTTGGTCCTCTGAATCAGCCGGCACGCGTCATTAATTCTCCTTTGAATCGTAGGAAACGGATTGTGTACTCTGAAGATGAGAGTGGAGCTTTCTGGTCTTCCTCGATGTTCTCTTCTTGATTCATACAAACAATCAACAGCGGAAGATGAATCCTCATTTTTTTTCACGATCCAACGCTGTCTTAAGCTCGTTCAAAATTACATATTGGGCGGTAGAAATTCTTATCGCAATGCAATCGGTCGTTTCCTCTTGCCTGCCTCGCTCGAAAGCCAATTTGGATCTTCGTGTCGAAACGTTCTCTTGCGAGAGCACCGAGTTTCAGTCCGACCGTATTTCCATCCTCACCTTCTTCGTCCGCGTTTCTGGGATCAGTCGGAGTAGCTCGGTCGTTGGAGCGCGCCGTTCCGATATGCGATTCCTGGATTCCTCGCAACTGGCGCCTGTTCCTTTTTCGAAAACAAGATCTCCTTCGACTCCGGAGATGGGCGGGTGTGCCTTCGCAGGGACGAGCAACAAGTTGGACAACAGGTCCGCGATGTTGTGTATCCGTGTGCGCCGGTGTGTGCGAGCACTACCGCCGCCGCCTTACGTGTGTGGTCGATAGCTCCCTCTAGCCCTCTCCGCGACCCCGGAAATCCCGCGCGCACCCCCTTGCAACCCTCGTTCTTGCGCTCTCGCTACCTATACACGGTACACACAGTCGCAGTCGAAAGCGAGTTGGCTGACGAGTGCACCCGAAGCTACGGTACTTGCCCCTGGTTGCACCGCGGACACCGTTTGCGTCACCAATGTATTCTCTCGTTTTTGACGTTCCCCTGGACCGAAAGCCTTGGCCAGGATCCCGACGCAGGCACCGACGTAATATGTCTACGATGGTTCGTTCGGCGGACACGCGGACTATATACTGCGGTAGTCTCGCACGGCGGACGGATATACACGAGGCGTAACCACGACAACGAACACCTCGATGGCCACGACGACGATGACAACGACGACGACGACGACGACGACGACAACGGCGGCGGCGGCGGCGGCGGCGGCGACGGCGGCGGCGGCGATGACGTGGAACAGAAACGAACGATGAGGACGACGACGACGACGACAACGACGACGACAAAGATGAGAACAACAGTGAAAACGACGATGAAGATGACGATGATGAGGACAACGACGGAATCCCCGGGCACCCGGCGACGGCGGACGCGAGTACCGACGAGCTCCGCGAAGATCGAAGACGAAGATGTACCACCTGTAGGCGCAGAAGCAACAATTGTCCGCCGTGTATCGCGGTGGAGGGTAGCCCGACTACATGGCTCGTACCGGGTGTGGCTGGGGTGCAACTGCCAATGCAGCGTCGCCGACGAGTGTCGCCCCGCGTCCCGGGCGCCTGCGTCCTCGCCGCCGCGTTTGTGTGCAGCTTTCTCCCCTTCTCCCTTCCTGCCGCGTAACTCGCGTTTCCAACCCCCTTCCCGTCGCTCCTCTTCGTCGGCTGCGGCGCGTTCTCCCGCTCCTCTCGGTCTCGTTCCCCTGTTCTTACGCGCCACCCTCTCCTCTTCCTTAATCGAGGGGATGGCGAAGGTTGCCGAGGGGGAAGGCCGGCAGAGGGACGGCGGCCGGGGGAGGGGTGAGGGGTGAGCAGGAGGAGGAGGAGGAGGGGAGGGGGGGTTGTGGATCGGCGGGGAAACCCCTCCCGACGCCGATCTGGCTCTCGCCATCGATTTTGTACGAGTTCGGGGCCAGACCAACACCTGTTACCGCGGTGGGTGGCTAAAGAGGAAGGGTGGAAGAGCGAGTGGCGGAGTGAGATGGAAAGAAGAGACAAGAGGGGTGGTGCAGGCAAAACCAACCCTCCCGCGACTAAAAGAGGGAGAGAGAGAGAGAGAGAGAGAGAGAGAGAGAGAGAGAGAGAGAGAGAGAGAGAGAGAGAAGAAAGAGAAAGAAAGAGGGAGATAGAGAGCGCACCAGCCGCTAGATACCGACGAGGAAACGCCGACGCCAATCGATAGCGTCGACCTCGGCATCCTGCCGCGTTCGTCGGCGGGGTTCGCGATAGCGCGCGCCATCCCCTTCCATACCATCGTTGCGTCTCGCTCTCGTCATCCTCCACCTCGTTTCCACGTCTCTCTTTTCACCCTCGCACTATTCCGCGCTTCGAGTTCTGTCTCTGCCTCCGTTTGTCGGTGTCTCCTCTTCGTCTCCGGTTAGCTTGGCCGGTTTGCGTTTTCTTCTATTTCATTCCGCCTCGCGTGTCTTTTATTGGATTTATTTATTGCGTATGGCTGTATCCATTCTCTTTCCGTGAGACTCCTGGAATTAACGCTACAAGTTGGCTCGAGATGTGTAGCTCCGATGGAATTAACTCGGATTATTTTCTCAGATGTTGTCTGCGGTACACCGTTCTAACTTTCTCGAAGAAGCTAGCAACAATATCGAGTTGTAACATAAACGAAATTAACTACGCGTACGTTCCTAAGTCGACAGACATTAATTGTATGTTTTCTCGTTGGCTATATGGTCCCATTAATTATATTTCTTTTACTTACAATAAATACCTACCTATACTTATCATTTATTCTGATTAAAACGGTGATAAAATATAATCTATAAGTATTGCGGGGATGATAACAAGATAATGTTTTTTTTTTCCGCAATGTCCTGTTTCATTTTAATAATAATATTTTTCTTTCTCATATTTTTGATAAAATTTTGTTGTCTTTTTTATCTCAATCTTAATTCTTATTTTCTATTCTGTCATTTATTACGTTCACATTCATACCGTTGCGAGATAGGCAATAATGTCTAGATAGATTCGGATTCTCTGATGTCGCGAAATTTATGGGGACTTTACTAATCATCTCGGAATGCGAGATCGTGTGAGAGATTATGATAGCACCGTAGTAATTAATGGGTTCAGATATATGATCCTTGACAAGTTCTATCTTAATCTATAATACGATCTCCGTACCATCTTATGTAAACTTTAAGAACATACATAGGACGATAATAACCAGACGGTCACTTAGAATGAAGCCATACGGTAAATTTCTCGCGTCATTAACCCAGTTGGAAAATTCATTATCGTAATGAGAAAAGCTATCTCTCAACAATATTATGTAATGTTGTTAATATTCTTACTTGAACCAAAATTTGTAAATAAGAAAATTAGTATATTTGAATGCTGTTCGAACGATCAGTATATGCAATTATATCCTCACATTATTATTAATCTTGTTATCAATCTATTTATAAAATCAATCTGCGCGAGCCAATTTCAATTCAAGTTATTGGAATGAATTGTTACACAATACATCAATCTTATTTTTCTTATATATTGTCTAGTTATCGATTATAC